TTTGACAAATGTGATTTTTTAAAGATGTTCTAAAATTAGATATTGACAGCCATGGTAACGTAATAGTACTCGTTCCTTATGCTTATGTTTATTGTATCATGGTAAGTTATTGATGTAGTGTTAATTTCCAGATCTGGGTTCATTCATAGTTAATTTCCCAAAATACCAGCGGAAAAAATATTGTGTGGCTCAATCAAATTCAACCATGTGTAGTTGCTAATACGTGATCCGATGTGAGAAATACTCACGTGATCCCAGGTTACCAGTGGTAGAATGGCGTCACGAGGGAAAGGAGGGAGAGAAAGCGGGGCGATGGAGAGAGGGACCTGACTTCACAGAGTGAGGCGGGGTGATGGGGTGCTTCTTGATCGCGTGCGGCATGAGTTCGTGCAAAAAAAGAATACAACTGTGGCCTCTCAGACTTTGTCTGGTGGACTCATTTTATTGTTAATCGCTTCTGTGGAGAGTCATTACAATGCAGGGTGCTATTCAATCCAATAATACATTTTAACGCGATTTTCTCATGCTAGGAATGTGACCTGCATTATGACGGTATTCGTTGGTCTTGTGAACCTCAAAAGGGAGCGTGGTTGAGGGTGTGTCAGGAATTCAACACCCCCCCCCCCCAAGCGGTTCTGGGGCAAAACAGGTAAATGTCAGTCCGTGTCAGAAAAGTGAAGTAGGAATCCAAAAATGTTCTGACAATAATGTCGTGTAGGTCGGTATTACAAATATAGTACATACTCTTTGGTTCTTTCGGAAAAGTCACGTAGGTATAAAAATAAAATAATCACGACGTTTCGGGCGCAACACAATGGTCCGTCATCAGGTGGGAAAGGAATGGTCTGCTGCTGAGGCAGACTGTTTTAAAAGGTTTGAAATGGGTGTAGCCCAAGGGTCATAAAGAAGTGGCCGCAGCTAGTGATGTTAATGTGAGAAATGAGCATGTAACTGTAAGAAAGGAGAGTGGCCTCCTCGACGAGGGCACGGAAGTGGCTATGTTAATGTGAGAGATTAGCATGATGTTAATGTGAGAGATTAGCATGATGTTAATGTGAGAGATTAGCATGATGTTAATGTGGGAGATTAGCATGATGTTAAAGTGAGAGATTAGCATGATGTTAATGTGAGAGATTAGCATGATGTTAAAGGTGAGAGATTAGCATGATGTTAATGTGAGAGATTAGCATGATGTTAATGTGAGAGATTAGCATGATGTTAATGTGAGAGATTAGCATGATGTTAAAGGTGAGAGATTAGCATGATGTTAATGTGAGAGATTAGCATGGTACTGTAGAAAAGGAGGAGAGCGGCCTCCTCGACGAGGGAGTGCAACCCAACCGGTGAATCTAAAGGGCATGTGAGTATGAGAGTGTAATCCAAAGGACATGAGAGCATGAGAGATCTAAGAGAGAGTCATAGAGAGAGAGACACACAGATAGTCGGAAATAACAGCTGACATAGGCAGGTAGGATGTAAACATCACAGTCAGTTTAAGACTTTACCTGGTTAATAACGTCCTTCCAAAATTGCTCAATTTGTACCCATCTTCTCGGTTGAAGTTGCGTCTGTGTTTATATATCTGGATGGCTTCATGAACAAATCTCTGAAGGTAGCCGGTAGGTTTGCAGAGTACCTCCGTCTTGGATATAGTACAGTTCTAGAAAAGTGTTTTCTTTAATGCCAAAGTGTAGAACTCCAATGAGCTAACACAGCATAATAAACTACAACCACAACACGAGTGTAAAAAAGTAGCAATAAATACATTTTCTTGGTTAATAGAAAAAAAAACTGTAGCTAACAAGATTTACACGTAGGCTATTTTATTACGAATATATAATAAAACCACCCCCCAATCGACCAACGAACGCAGTTAGAAATGCACAGCAAAAGGTGTAATCTTGATGCACGCGACGTTATCTAATGCATGTGAGTTTGTGTGTTTGACGTCGATTTTTTCAATTGTGAAGTTTTTGTGTATGGTTTAAACCATACAGGAAGACGCTTTATTCAGCTGATGAAAAAATAGTATTTAGAGCAAATGGTTTGCTCATGGATTCACCACCATTGGTTGACTATGATGGCAAAACCATAGCTGCAAAGCAGGCCCCCACGTATTCTTTCAACGTCTAATCATGCTTGCGCAACTCTGTATTCTACTCCAGAGGACAAAGGTTATACATACCAAGCCTGTGGATGATCCTGTTTGCCTGCATATATTGTCAGTGATGAACATTTAAACCACATTTTATTGGTAGGAACCTCTGGTTACACCAGCCCACAGGGGATTATTCTGTCCGTCGTGCATTCCAAATATGGGAGGGGTGGGTGGGGCTGGGTGGAGAGGGGAGGGTGGGAAGGGGCTGGGTGGGGAGGGAGGGGCTGGGTGGGGAGGGGAGGGTGGGGAGGGGCTGGGTGGGGAGGGTGGGGAGGGGCTAGGTGGGGAGGGGCTGGGTGGGGAGGGTGGGGATGGGTGTAGGGTGGGAGGGGTGGGGCTGGGTGGGGAGGGCTGGTCACCCTGTGGTGCCCTTATAACACGTTCTTTGGAGTGGGCAGGTAGGAACTTGGTTGGACAGCGCGGCGTTCGGGGGGGGCAGTTGGATGAGTGAGCATGTTTACCCTTCCCCCCACCCTCCCCGACATCGTCAACCAATCACGGCTATGCTCGGTGTTCGGTGGGGAGGGGATTGCATGAGTGGCCGTGTTTACACCCCACCTCTACCAATGGTGCCCCGCTCGGCGTTTGGGGGGGGGGGAGTTGGATGATTGGGCATGTTTACCTTCCCCCCACCCTCCCCGACATCCTCAACCAATCGTGGTCTTGCTCGGCGGTCGGTGGGGGGGCATGGGTGGGCTGCATTCCGATGCACGACAGACAAATAATCCCTGGTGGGCAGTGTGGAACCTGTTGTTCCTACCTGTAAAACTCAACGTTTAACCTACTCACGCCGGCTTGGCCCGCCCTCACAGTCGCCCATATTTGCAGAATACACCATGCCGCCGTTGACCCTGGCCATTGACCGAGCAACCCAACGTTCCTACCAGCTCCTCCGCAGGAATGTGTTCAGTCGTTTGCCAAAGCCACTCCGGTGAGTTTGTGTGATGGTTTATGCTCCTTGTTGAGCATAAACCATCACATAAACTCAGCAACAACGTCAAGAACAAGTGCTCCTGAGGATGTTGCAGTACAGAACCTCTCTTATGTATGGTAATGTGGGGGAAGTATATATCACAGATCTGATTATCTTGGGGTCGAAGGGGGGGCCTCCATGGCCCACTTCGGTATAAAGGAGCTTCCTTCCCAGAGGATTCGTTAACCCAGGGGTGTCCAAACTTTTTGCAAGGAGGGCCAAATTTGATAAAGTGAAGATGCCCGGGGGCCAATAGTTCCTTCCGACATTTTTACCACAAAAGTTACGTGAAAACACACTGTTATAAAACAATTTCATTGTCACAATTACCTTTATTTTTCAAATGACAATGTAACCAAATATAAGCCACTCAGGCAGACGTGAACAACTCTAAAAACACAATTCTGCCTTTCATTCAGTCAGATAACATTGAACAAACTGTATAGAATACCTTAAATTTCCATGAGTTAAATATATTTACCTCATGAACATTTTAAACAGGAGTTATAAGTAATGCAAAGTGGTCTGTTATCATTAAACTTTAAAACAAGTGAATTTTGCCCTTGTCTTTTACAAGATCTTTCAGAAAGCAATAGTTTGTGTCACATCTACAGGTACATAACATCAACAGTTATAACCAAATCTTATTCAAGAGTTTAATAAAACAAGTGCCATAAGTCCAAGTGCATTAGTGTGCTTTAGGCTTTTCACTGTTAATAGTGACAGATGTTACCGTTCAAAACACTCAATTTCAGATTGATCAAGGAACAGATAACTTGCTGACACTAATGAGAAGGGTGATACTGAGATCTAGATTTCAGTAAAGAGACCAGGTCTGGCTTGAGGGCAGTGGTTGAGATGCGTAAAATGCCACGCAAGTGGGAGTCACTCATCCTTGACCTCAATCGGTTCTTGTTTAAGTTCATGACTGAGAATGTTTGCTCACACAAATATGTGGAGCCGAATAAGCTCAGCATTTTCTTAGCGAATGACCGCATTTCTGGAAACCTGCTTTTGTCCAGCTGCCGGTAAAAGTCAACAAGAGAACACTGCTGGTGTTTCCCGCGGCACTCATCGTCACACTGCAGCTCAATGAGCTCCAGCTGCAGCTGTGGAGGAGCATCATCAGGGTCCACGGAGAAGGGAGAAGAGAAAAGCAACATGTCCTTTTCAATAACTGCAAAGTCCCGAAAGCGTTTGTTAAATTCCACAGAAAGAGATGCGATAGCTGTTGCATAACTCTTCATTTGCGCACCGATGTTGTCCTGTGGGAAACTGTCAATGACCTCTTTCAAAGCTGGGAAGTGCGCGGTGCAGGGCTCTGTTTGGGACAAGTGTCTTTGGAAAAGTTGCAGTTTGGTTCCAAAGGCCTTGATGTGAGCATATAGCTGGCTCACCACTGCATCTTTTCCTTGAAGATTAACATTCAGCGCATTCAGATGCTTCGTTATGTCAACCAAAAAAGCCAGATTTGCCAGCCATACAGGATCGGACAGTTCTTCCATTGGTTGTCCCTTCTCACCCAAAAAATGTCCAATTTCCTCTTTGAGAGAGAAAAATCGCTGCAGTGCGGACCCCCGACTTAGCCACCTCACATCGTTGTGATATATTACGTCACCGTATTCAGCCTGGATGTCACGCAAGAACTGCTGAAACTGTCGGTGGTATAGAGCTTTAGAGCGAATAGAATTGATTGCCTTTGCCACTGGTTTCATAACATCGTCAAATTTGAGATGTTTGGCGCAGAGAGCCTGCTGGTGAATGATACAGTGAAGTTTAATAGCGTTGCCTGCTTCTTCGCTGACTTTATTGCAGATCAGTGTGGACAATCCACTTCGCTCACCAGCCATGGCAGGCGCACCATCGGTAATGATCCCAGAAACTTTACTCCATGGTAGTTTCATATCATCAACAGCTTCACAAACAGAAACGAATAAATCTGTTCCTCTGGTTTGCCCTTTAAGGCTTTTGAGGTCAAGCAGCTCCTCTGTCACGTTCATGTTGTCATCAACTCCTCTTAAAAAAATAAGTAGTTGTGCAGTGTCAGATGCATCGGTGCTTTCATCGCAGGCTAATGAGAAATAATCAAAAGCCACTCCCCTGTCCCCCAGTTGTCTCTGAATATCTGACGATATGTCCTCAACTCTCCGTGCCACAGTGTTGCGTGCCAGGCAAACATTCATAAATTCTTGCTTCTTCTCGGGGCAAATGTTCTCCACCATTTTCATGACACAGTCTTTGATAAACGCACCTTCAGTAAAAGGTTTGCCATGTTTAGCTATTAACATGGCCACTTCGTAGCTGGCTTTGGTGATGTTTTCCTTTGACTCACAGGCCCGCGTGAAGAATCGCTGTTGCGATGCCAGAGCAGCTTGAAGTTGCTTCACTTTTTCAGCGCGGTCACTCCCTGTTAGCTTGTCGTATGTTGTAGCATGTTTAGTCTCGTAGTGTCTCTTTACGTTGAAATCCTTAAACAAGGCATCCGTCTCTTTACAAATTAGACAAACACAATTGCCTCGATTTCAGTGAAGAAGTATTGTAATTCCCACCGCTCCTGAAAGCGGCGGCCCTCACTGTCAACTTTTCTCTTTTTTTTTGCAGTCGCCATGGCAGAAATATTCGAGAAGGGTTCGCGGCACGGATGCAGAGCCAGATAGCATTATAATGGTGCTGCCACCGTGTGGTGAAAGGAGGAATTACATCTTTAAAGTTTTATGATTTATTTATTCTGACAGAGCTAGCGAGCCATAAATAACACATTATAAGACCGAAGCTGCGGGCCGTATGACATCTGACCACGAGCCATGATTCGCCCACGGGCCGGACTTTGGACATTCCTGCGTTAACCGATATATTACTGTATACGGTTTTCAGCAGTAATAAGTGATAGCCGCTGCATAATACGGTAACTATAATTCAATTACTCATTCAACTGATCTAAAGGCATGGAGGTCTTATTATTATTATCATCCAATTTTAATAAAAAATATACATCGCCATTTATAACACTGTTACAGTAATGTTTGGTTGGCTAGTAGGGTTATGATTAGGGTCTGGACTCATGACTTGGTGTGCACTTGTACCGAAGTGTGCCGATGGTTAATTCTGGCATTTTAAAACGAAGGTGAAACGCATTTTATGCATTAGCTCTTTCCATCCGTCTGTCTGTTACACGGAGCCACGATAATTCCACTAAAGATGATCAAATCTGAACATTTGTAAAAAGTTATAGAAAACTGGCCAAATTGATCAAAGGGTTGCCCATAACTTGGAAACGCGATCCAGTACTTGCTGGTGTGCTGGTCTGTGGGTCTCATTACTGGCTACAGACGCACTGCTGCTAACTGAGCCTGGCACGAGCGCTACCGTTATTGTCATGAATTAAATACTTTTGAGGACAACCGCATGTTGAAAAGGGTTACATAATCCATGCTTATTCATGCGATTTTTCCTTTGTTTCTTTGGTATTTTCGAAAGCTTCATTAGTTTAGACTGGTATAGAGAAAACAGGCATTCAGAATAACTGGTAATGTGTGTCATCTTGCATATTTTTTAATGATTTTATTCCCCTCATTTTGGTATTCTCATTTAACGATTTGCTTTGTTGATTTTAAATATAAATAACAATGACACCTTTAGATTTAAAGCTTTCGTGATTGCAGCGATTCATACTCTTGGTTCTTCCGGTACATTTTTAAAATTGTTTTTCCCTTCTACGTGACTTTACCGAAAGAACCAAAGCGTAATGCCACATTTGTTTACGTAAACGATGCAGTCCGCTGCTGCCATGTTCTACGCAATAAATGTTAATGCAGTACTTTCTGAGCATACACAAACACCTGTCCTTGTATCCAGGTGTTTTGAGATTTGGCGCCTCTAGAAGAATGTCAAATAGGTGTGTAATTGTGCATTGATTTAATCGACTATTACACTTACGAGGTACCAAATCTTGTGTGTAAGAGTCAATTATACATGGTTAATGTTAGTTAGAAACCAACTTCATATTTTGAGCAATGAAGTGGATTAAACGGTATAAAAAAATTATGTTTAGTAAATACTATTTTCAAACTATAAACAATTTATATTTTACCAGGTAAGGCCTACTGAGCTATGTAGCTCTTTTTCAGAAGCGACCTGGCCTAAAATAATAGCTCAACGAAGTGGATTTATCACGTGAAAATGTATAACAGCCAAATACTCTACACATAAATGTTCTAAACACTAAATGCAATAGATATGATGATAATGAAACAAATACGAATCAATTATTTAATCTTACTGCAACTACAAATCGTGAAAGGTCATCGAAACACTGGGAAGGCAAATTGTTACAAATCTGTTGCGAGGAAGAATCCCCTGCAGCTCACAGGCACCTTCTACTGGAGTACCGGGGCATGGCATCATTTTCACATCTCATATGCGACCTGGCACCAGAATTCGCTGCCAATCAGGGCATGTGTGTGTATGCGCATGCGGATGGTGGAGTATTGGTTAAACAATCGAGCGTTGTCTTTCAATGCAAATGCTTCTGCACTCTGTCAGAAGGAATCACCGTTATTTCTGCCAGATGTGATGGGGTGTATGGATCTATGGTTGTTTCCTGTTTATTTTTGTATTAATTCCTTATGATAATGAACTGTGTATTGTGTTCGTCACTCAGAGGCAAGTAAACTCCCCGGCAAAGAAGCAACAACTGCTGGACGTCATCTCTGAGTCATCACAGTCAAAACAAGACAAGGCTGCTTCCCCAATACTGCTGTTTAATTACACAAGTCTACTCTTCACCAACATCACGAAAAATATCGTCTTAACAGAAAAGAGTTGAGTATACATTTTGGTTCGATTTGTTTCGGTAAAAAAGCTGATGTGTTGTGTTCGCAAGACATTGACATCCGTAAGGTGGCTTCAACGCTTGAGATGATGAAATGTAAAGTCAAGATACTGACCTAAACCGTTGCGATGTGTAATTCGCATCACTGACACTGGGAACAGCAAGAAAAGTGTGTGGCTGAAAGTCGAGCTAGGTGTGTGATGAGAGGTAAGAGGTAAGCAGGGATGGGTCCATGGAGAATCTAGCAGACTGTGAATGTGTTTTTTAAAATTGATCCAGGATTGGATTGAAAGACAGTGGAGGGACGGCAGTATTGGGGTGATGTGCCCTCATTTACGGGTGCGGAGACTGGTAGCAGTATTTTGGAGCGTCTGTAATTTGAAGACAAGGGATTTGGGGAAGGTGTAGAGGAGAGAGTTACGGATGTGATGAAGGTCAACTGATCTGATTTGATCTGTGATAATATGGATCTGAGTTGGATTGATTTTTGTATCTGATCCTGAGCAATTGTAAGCATATTTCAATAACTAGATAATACTAATGTGGACACTCAATGTTATGCATCACATGCAAACACATTAAAATACAGCAATTATAACTGATTTGTAAATATACTTCCTATACCTGCAACCACTATCAATTCCATTTGCTTCCAAAATGAAATAAATAAATCGTGAATGAAGTAATTACACCTTCAATCACGATTAAGTATTTGTGTATAACGATTAATTCCACAATGGAGATTGTGATTCTTTTCAGATAATTATCATCTTTTGGCTAATTTTTCACCATCTTGGTTGTCCTATTTATAATGTGTTGTTTTCACTCTATTTTAAAATACATAGATATAGTACTGACCAGAGTTTGCATATTCTCCCTGTGGTCGCATAGCTTTTTCTCCAGGACCTTCGGTTTTTCCCTCCACATTTAGAAACATGGCTTTAGAGTATATGGCTGCCATACATTTCCACATGATAAGCCACTTCATTGAGCAATCATTTATGGCCAGGTCACTTCTGAAAAAGAGCCATATAACTCTACATTTTCAACAAAAACGATTGTATACCCCGAGTACTTGCCCAATGTAACTGTATGCTTTTTGTGTCTTTCAGAGTTTCTTGCGATTGGCCTTTGTTCCGTAAAGCGGAAACATGAGCCATACTTGATAGACACCCTGAGGTCCATATTTGAGCAATCAAGCTCAACGGAACTTCAGCAGATGGTAGTAGTGGTGCACTTGTGCGACTTTAACATGGCGTGGTGCGAGATGACGGCACGTCTAATTACGAAAATGTTCCCCAGCCATGTGCTAGCCAAGCGACTTCTATTGATCCACGCACCAGAGGAGATCTACCCCTCTCTTGAGGGCCTCAAGGCCAACTACAATGACCCTCCGGATCGAGTGCGCTTCCGCTCCAAGCAGAACGCCGACTACTCCTTCTTACTTAGCTTCTGTGCCAACCTTGCTGACTACTACCTCATGCTGGAAGATGATCTGAAATGTGCAAAGAATTTTTTTACCACAATCCAAAAGGCCATTGCTTCACGACAAAATACATACTGGGTCATTTTGGAATTCTCCCGACTGGGCTACATTGGCAAGCTCTACCATAGTCATGACCTCCCCACCCTTGCTCAATTCCTTCTCTTGTTCTACCAGGAGATGCCATGCGATTGGCTTCTGACACACTTCCGTGTTATTCTAACACAAAACAATCCCATAAATTTCAAGCCGGCGTTATTTCAGCACATGGGCCTCTACTCATCCTTCAAAGGCGATCGAATGAATTGAAGGACGGCGATTTCCAGGAGAGTACCGCAAATGTGGCCGATAACCCTGCCGCCACCTTTCACACAAACATCAAGGTATTCGAAGACTACCGGCCGGAGAAAGCCTACAGCACTGAAAGTGGCTACTTCTGGGGAAAGACGCCCGTTGCAGGAGATTACTTCACGTTGAAATTCGTGGAGCCTCAGAAAGTGGATGCAATTGAGGTTCTAACGAGCTCCGTTGATAGAAAAAATGACGGTCTTAAAGCCGGCTATTTGGAAGTTGGCAGTCATGCCAAAGAACAATCATGCTCATCGTTTAAGATGTTGGGACATTTTGTACATGGAGAATTCAGAGCACAAACTTTAAGTGAGACTATACCATTTAAAATTGACTGTATTCGTATAAATGTGATTAGGAACCAAACCGAATGGCTTATTATTCGGAGTATCAGCATTTTCCTTGTTCCAAAGTAATATTTCCTTTTCTTTCGCGTGCAACATTCCATGTTTTTTTACTTTAACGTTAAACCCTGGCCATGTAATTGTACGGTAAAGTCCCACCCAAAAATGTAATTTCCCCAATTATTTTGCCATTTCCGAGTGACCAGGGCAGCTCCTTCATGCAGGCGAGACCGCCTAGTGCGCCAAGTTACACAAGGCGCAAATTCGAGGAAAAAAATATTCCTGTAAAAAAAAAAACGAAGATGTCATTATTTCAATGCCCATGCACGTTCAGAGGGAATATGAACGTTAATTAATTTTCTCAACATTTCTAAGAATGTATTTACGTAAAGTATTGTATTTACTTGCAAAAATAAACACCGCACATCGCGGCGTAGTTGGCCTAATTTTTTTCTGCTAAAAATTAATGTCAACAGGTGCAAAATATTCAGTTAATAAAGGAATTTCACAGTATAAACATGGATACTATGTTTATAATATACCGAATATCATGGGCGTCCACAGGAATTTAAGTAGGATAGCTTTAAACCTGTTGTAATATTTATCTACAATATAATCCAGTGTCAGGTCACCTGTATTTTGAGTCATGCTCTGTGGTCAACAATGTGTGTTTTCACACTGGATTATACTTAATATGATTATTACAACACAGGTTATACAATAATGTCAATCCTTAACATTAATATAAAAATTCGTAAGTTGGTCGAACGATTGGGTAGGTGGATGGGAGGGTGCGTGGTCGGGCTGGTGGATGGTTGGGTAGGTGGTCAGGGGCATGTCACTGAGCACTTGGGCAGGTGGGTGGGCAGGTGGGTGGGCAGGCGGTCTGTAATTCAGTGCAGTAATATTAGTAGCGTACATTAAAATAGAGTGTGTGTGGGCGACACGTCCCAGCCCCTAAATGTTGATAACTTGTTTATCTATGAAATAATTGAGATCTCCGATCGCATACAAATGCAGCCTAAAGACACACAAACAGTCGGACAGGCACAAACAGAAAGGCAATCAGACAGTCACAACTATATTTTCCCGACCCCTTGTATACCGAACATCATGGGCGTCCACGGGAATTTAAGTAGGATACTGCAGCTTGAAACCTGTTGTAATATTCATCTACATTCTAATCCAGCGTCATGTCACCTGTAGTTCGAGTTACGTCAACTCCCTTGGTCAACAACAGATGGTCCAATGCTGCATTATGCTCATAGTGATTATTACAACACAGGCTAGACAATAATGACAACCTTAACGTTTGTTGTAAAAAGTTATCAGTCCCGGTTTGATTTCCGCTCACGGCCAACACCGGTGACGGTTATCCGAACCGGTCCCGGCCTCCTCTAGGTTGACTCGGCCTCAAATGAGTACTTGGTGCGGTATGTAAACATCACCACTGGGGAGAAGAAGGCGGTCACCCACCCCCTCGTGTACTGTTCCGGATTCGTGTATTGTATCGTCTAGCTGTCGTGTACAAATCTATTCTGAAAATGTCGTGTCTCTTTTTTTATCTGATCTCAAAAACATTGCTTAGAGCCTTGGACAGACGGATAACGCCAATAATGCCTCTGTTTAACAAAAAAATACGCAAAAAAAAAAACATTAAACGGGTAATATGGCCAAAATGTTTCCCAGTTTACCAAAAACCTCAGCCTCGGTCTGCCCTTGGGGGCAGGGCGCCGATTGCATGGGGGACCTCGGCGGCAGTTGCTGGCAGCTTGTTTCGGGCCACCCCTGAGTATGACAACACCTCTCCACATTTCTTGCCTTCTCCCAATCACCCCTTCGCTTCCTTGACCTCAATAAAAATACGCAGCGAGAGCACCATGATGAATATAATTCTTATTCCTGACTTTTAATAAAAAAAATCTACACTTTTTAATCACCAAAAGGTTTTATTTTTACAACGCATATTTTCAGAAGTACCGATCGAGAATGTTTATTTCCTTACAATTCATAGCATGCCAATGTGAAAGCAACACGTGGTATTTTGAAATAAAACTTGGGCTGAAACTGGATCAGTGTCACACAATGCGGTTGTTGGCACGAGTGTGGGGATTTGGGATCGCGTTTCGCCTGCGCCGAGTCACGATGAGCGGATGATGAACAAGGCAGCACTGCTACGAGTTTCAATGGGCATTCAATGTCGCCATGCGTGGGATCGGGGTACCAACCCTCTGCACCTGGATGATAACACCTTGCTGTGTGCTGGGCGACCCAAAGCAAAGGGTTTACTCAGTAATGTACACTAAGACGTGCCTATGCGCTTTGGTGGCCAATGTGCCTCCCGCGCACAAAGAAACCTGTAAACTCACAGCCAAGACAATAACCTGGGTATTTACGCACACAAAGCGCAATTTTTGAGCGTCGTTCACGAGCCGTCTCCACTTAACAGAGGCCGATATTGACATCTCAACTCGTTGCGCCGTGCCCGTTTAGCCCCCTATTCAGCTAAACAGAAGCTAACTTGGGCATGATGTGGATGGAAATAGGTGCTACATGACACAGCCAACACGGTCTCAACTGCTGGGGGAGCTCACTGATGGGACTGTGTCCAGATCTTTCAAGGATCTATGAGCTCATAAAATCCTGCCTGGTTAAAACCCAGGATCGGGAGGTGGATGCGCCGGCCTGAATTTTTCAAACTGGTGTGGATGTTCCTTTAAAGGGCCTCACGTTTTTAAAGCATAGAGAAGGGAGGGCATAACTGTGGCTGAGCAGACCCGGAGCTTCATATTTATGTATGTATGTTGAACTTCTTTCGCACCGTACGTAGCCAATATGGATGCAACAGGCTAGGTTTCCACACAGTGTTATGCAGCCGATGAAAAGATAATGCCGCTCGACTGATTTGGAGTGAAACCTCTGATGTAAAACCGGAACTGGCCATAGCCACACTGCCTTGATATGGGAACTCCTCTCTCCACAAATGTCCCGTCACTCAACTAGGGGTTGAGAAGGTGGAGTATTTTATGACATAAAATATGCAAGCATGTGCTTTTCTTATTGAGGCGCATGGTAAGTAAGGCCCCATCTCATATGGGGCATGTTTTAGGTTCAGTAGGACCGTTTCCAACGCCTCAGCAGAAATGACCAGGTGCAAACAAAAAACACAACTCTGATAATGTATGCACTGTCCTTGAAATTGATTGGTCCACACGAGACAGCTTTTCTTAGCGCCTCGTCTCACATGGTGTTGGACCAGATGATGCCAAAAGGCGCACAACTCAAAGACAATGCACCATCAGAGTATGAGAGCTCGGGTTAAGCATTTACACCATTGGACCTCCTTTGCCAGTAGCAAAATATGATAATTGTAAAAAAGGTGTCAGTTTTGTTGCCAGATAAAAGGGTAAAAAAACAATTATCATATTTTGCTACTGGCAAAGGAGGTTCCAATGGTGTAAATGCTTATTTTGAGCTCTCATACTCTGATGGTGCATTGTCTTTGAGTTGTGCGCCTTTTGGCATCATCTGGTCCAACGCCATGTGAGACTCGGCTCTAAGAAAAGCTGTCTCGGGTGTGGACCAATAAATTTCAAACACAGTGCATACATTATCAGAGTTGTGTTTTTTGTTTGCATTCCGACCACAGGTATTGTGGTCAATGCAAACATGACTTCTTGTAAAAGAAGCGTGTCAGTTTTGTTGCCAGATAAAAGGGTAAAAAAACAATTATCATATTTTGCTACTGGCAAAGGATGTTCCAATGGTGTAAACACGTCCCTTTGGAGTGGGCAGGTAGGAACTTGGTTGGACAGCGCATTTGTGCGATCCGTGTCACGCGGCGTCAGCTGCGTGGGGCGGCGCGTCACGTTGTGCTGAGCCCCGCCCGAAGCGCGTGGCTATGCACGACAGACAGACAAATAATCCCTGGTGGGCAGTGTGGAGCTGTTGTTCCTACCTGTAATATAGCGTCTGTGCAGGACCGCATCGTTCAGAAACCAGATTGGGGCTCCACAAGCCTTTCCTCAACGTGCCTGGCAAGGCGATGTTGAATAATTTTGGGAGGACATTTTCTGGCACGTTGAGAAGGGAGATGTCACGGTAGTTGTTGCTGCAATCAGTGTGGTACCTGTCCTATGGTCCAGACAGTTGTAGTTGTGTCATGTAGGGCAGCCTATCGGGCAGCATGAAAAACACACACACACGGAGACATACACTCAAAGACACAGACACACGAATACACTCACACAAGGAACAGCAAGCAGCAGCATCACTACCACGCACGAGTGAGGTGACGTCTACTTGGGGCATGTGGGGGGCCTGCAGAAAGCCAAACTCCCACTATCACTACCCAGACCTTCTGACAACATTTCTATACATAGATGCTACATCTTCTCGGGGGGGGGGAAACAAAATACATTGAGCTACATTTTTGTTTCTACAGTTTATTATGGACAATGAAACATGTCAAGCTTTAGTTTTAAAATAGGTACATTTAGCATTACAGTTGTAGGAAACCAATGTTGGCCTCTATGTCCAGGTCACTTATCGTATGGATGACTTACCATTTGTAATGTATGTAAAACCATGATTAAAACAGCAATGTTCGACATACAAGACGGCAATAGTGGTAAGCAATTGACATTAAATAAAGAATGACGCTGAAGAACATATGATCAAGAAGTGCAATCATTCTCTAAGCGTTTGACCAAACACAATGAAAAGCAATAGTTAAACCACTTGACAAGTGCCCATTTACAGATGATTCCATTTATCTGATGGCCTCGGGACCAGGTTGACGTCATGTGCTCTCGAGCAGGATATCCAGCTCTACGTTATGTGTTGCCAGGCTTGTCAGCTGCCCTAGTTTTTCCAGGATCATACCCTTTTTCGGGACGGTTTCTTCACCTGAGGACGGCTGCTTGTGTTGTGGCCGAAACGTCGTGAGAATTTTATTGTTTTATTTTTTATTATTTTATTATTTCCCTTCTACGTAACTTTACCGAAAGATCCAAGAATATGAATCCCTGCAGTTACGAAAGCTTTAAATCGAAATTTAAGTCCAAGTCTTC